TTAATTAAACAGCATTTTATCAAACTTTGATAGTTGCCTTAATCTTTTAAACAACTTTGACAGTGATCAAACTACATTTTATAAAAATCACCTGTCAATTTCAGCGAAGAGCAAATTATTACGTATTAGGTACGTTACGGTCTCTGACAGACAGCTTGTTGAAGCCGCTCAGGCTGCATTTTCTCTTCCTTCTCAGAAAGCAAACACAAAGTCAAATCATCCAGTAGTGTGGGTTTTCCAGCAAATCCGTGTGCTCCCTGCACCTCTGCAGGCTTCTCGTAAATACTATTTTTTGACAGACATAGATGCGCAAGATGGATAGACGAATGATGTGGATTGAAAGACTTACATGTTTGGCTTGTCAAAAATGTTACATTCAGTTGTCGCACATTTGTTGACTTTTGAAAACCAGAAAAGGAGGCATGTTTTGAGGTATGAAGTTTCTTACGACAAAAATCTTTTATTTTAACCCATGAAAATACAGATCCTATTGTTAATAATAGAGAAAAATCACTTTAAAGCTGTTGTTCCATTATTACCCCTTAGAAGATCTTGACTCATATAATGTGATTGATTTTGCAAGCAATTTGAAAGACTTACGTGTTTGGCTTGTCAAAAATGTTACATTCAGTTGTCGCACATTTGTTGACTTTTGAAAACCAGAAAAGGAGTGGTTTTGAGGCATGAAGTTTCTTACGACAAAAATCTTTTATTTTAACCCATGAAAATACAGATCCTATTGTTAATAATAGAGAAAAATCACTTTAAAGCTGTTGTTCCATTATTACCCCTTAGAAGATCTTGACTCATATAATGTGATTGATTTTGCAAGCATAATATCTGATGCACATCAGTGATTTAACACATCTTGATGTTGAAGTTAGTGTTTCTGTCTTAATCAGCATCCTTTGAAGAGAGTTAGTGAGCGTTGTGCATGTGTAATGAGTCAGACTCAGCCCCGGTGGAGCTTGCGCACTCACATGCATCGGTAATGAGACCCGTGTTAGTGATGCTCGGTGGCAAAAACATGATTACGTGCTGCTCCGATCGCTCTGTATCATCTTCCTGCATGAGCAATTGCTTTTATTCTGCTGCTTTTTTTTTTTTTGACAACTTGGATCAATCTCAGGGTTAATTTTTTTCGCTTTTTCCTGCAAGATCTGAACTGAAGCACAATCTTGAGAGCAGAAGGAGCATTTGATCCCCAACTCTAAAAGGTCACCCGTTACGCAGGACTTTGGCATATGAAACCGTGCAGAGCTGTCCGTGAGTTTTGATTTCAGTTATTGAACCATCAGTTTTATCCATTTGGACCAAACAATACACAGCCGACATGGGTAAGCATGGCAGCAATGATTATGCTTTTACTGTGTTATTGAGATTCAGGCAATGGAAAAAGCTGCATATTGTTATTTGGGAACCTGTTTGTCATTAAAAGAACAAATCTAGAAAATAAGAACATAATGATTCACTATCACTCTTTTAATAGCAGCTTGATATTTATGGATCTCATAATGTAAACAGCTTGAATTTAAAAATTTTAATTTGCACAATAATTTGGCTAATAATAAAGATGTTTTCGACAAAGTGACATATTCATAGAGGACTGAGCTGCATATGCTCTCTTCCTCTTAGAGATCTGTCTATTTTTGATTCTGTCACTGCATAATTAACACTTTGTTTAATTGGTCCTTTTTAAGTTCAGAGAAAATAAAACCTATGAATATGCATCTAGTCTATTACCAGCTGCTGGGCTCTAAATATAGAAGCGCATTAAATATTCATGTTCCACCTGCAGGCGGCATTTAAGCTGGTGAATGATAACACTCCTCTCATCATGAACCTCCTCACTTTTATCAAACATCTATAAAATATTCAGCTGCCCAGGACAGCCTCTCCGGTTATGCTGTTTGATACAGTAATATGCAAGTTTCATATTGACGTTATTTATGTTTTACATACAGTACCTCGCAGAGGTAGTCAGATGCTTAATCAAATCGTATGTCTTCCTATTTGCAAATCTTGCATTGATTAAAAATATAATTGAATTTATTTATTCATTCGTTCATTCGAAGAAATAAGCATTGTGAGCATTATTGGCTTTGTTCAATATAAAGCTCACTTAAATTAGTTTTAGGTCCTTAGAAGTGATGTTATGATGCATTATTATTATTATTATTATTATTATACAATTTGTCATTCTTAATTGTAGTTTTCATTAGATTCTTATTAATAAAAATACTGTAATACAATTTTTTTTTTTGCGTCAGCATTAGCTGCAATTGCTTAGTTATTTATTATTTTTTTGGGGGTGAAACATGACCTGAACATGTTCTTGACAGGCTTCATGAGATTCACCCAGAAAGGTCCCCTGCCATTTGACACCAATGACAGCTCACTCAACACTTTATCAATTTTTCACTGCACACATCTTTTCATTTGTCTATCGCTGACTGACCAAACATTCATCACAATAACACTCACATCCATCTGCAGGAATGTCTCAGAGCCGGTCCCAGTGCAATTGCTCACTGTGATCTTATCAAAAACCACTTGAAAGATGTGACCTTTTCACTTTATTGTATGATAGGGCAGCTCATATACAACTTTTCAAGTTTCCTAACCATTATTGGATTTGAATAAACTGTAAGCTCATTTGTTTGGATAATACAGGAAAAATTCTGTCATTATTCACTTATTGTGATGCTCACCTTCTTCTGAAGAGCTGCTCTTTCCATTGAATCAAAGTGAATGAATGCTGACCAGGGGCTGTCAGCTTCCAAAAAAAGCACCATTGCAGTAGTTCATACAGTATGATTTGTGTTATATTACCAGCCATACCATAGCTTTACACAAGGAACAGTTTTGGAAAATTGTAAATAATTTGAATTTCCAAGTTCATTTTTTTGTGTGAGATGCATCATTTCTGGGAGCCGATGTGGCGTTATGTATTCAGGCGGGATGGATGAAAGCCTGTGTGTGCGGGTGAGACTCAGATCATGTTTAATTACCACCAGCAAACTGGATGGCAGCTTGGATGCCAACCGCCTGCTAAGTGCATTTCTGCTGGGCAGATAACAAGGTCAGGCTGTGCCCTCGTTGATAGGAGATGTTCAGGATTGCTGAAGCAGAAGATTTGAGAGGTTGTAAAGACCTGAGTACAGTAATAATAGTGATGCTTGATGCAAAAATGACTACTAATTGTTTCCAAACAGGTTTCTAAACACCTTCCTCATTTCCACCCCGCTCCACATCAGCAGGGATGACGTATTTTTGTAGGCCAGACCAGAAGTTAGCATCACCCTGGTTCCCTCGACAAAAACCCAATAGGATTTTTCCACTGGCTTTTGAATTAATACAGAAAATAAGCTCTGTGACTAACAAAAGTTTGATTCTTACATGTTTTGCTATCATTTAACACAACTTTTGTCTAAATACTTTTTAGTCTAAATACATTTGCCAGAAGTAAAAAGCTAAATGTATGTAAATTGTCTTCATTGCGGTCGCTTCACTTCAACTTCACCACCATTAAGCTTCTGACAACTCTCTTAGTTTTTTTTAAAATTTAAAATAATTTTCCCTTAAAGTTTGAGTTAGAGTGGTTTGAAAGAGTACGCTACTAAACACACTGTGGCTGTAAAAGTGGACTAGTGAGTAGATGAGCTATCTTATTCAGTTATAACCTTTAATGTCCCCAACTACCTCTATAGTCCCATTTAGGAACTTGTTAGCATGCCTTTTTCTAGACAAGTAAAAGCTTTTAAATATATCTAACATGGGGTTTGGGTTGCCAGCTTAACCAGCTTAATTGGTATTCAAAACTAGCCCAATCGCATTCTGGGGAAAAATGGCTATCAAAATCGCTCCAAAATCACGTTCAGGGGGTCAAAACCTTGTTCTGGGGGTGGGGGTTTTTGTTTCGACCCGCAGACTAAAAAAACAACCCTCACCAACAGTATAAAAGTTGCCCAATTCCTCTGGAAAACAGACTTGGCAACACTGCAAGGATGTCTTTTATGTCCTTCACTTCAACTTCACCACCATTGAGCTTCTGACAACTCTCTTAGTTTTTTTTAATTTAAAATAATTTTCCCTTAAAGTTTGAGTTAGAGTGGTTTGAAAGAGTACGCTACTAAACACACTGTGGCTGTAAAAGTGGACTAGTGAGTAGATGAGCTATCTTATTCAGTTATAACCTTTAATGTCCCCAACTACCTCTATAGTCCCATTTAGGAACTTGTTAGCATGCCTTTTTCTAGACAAGTAAAAGCTTTATCGACTTCATGACAGTGAAGCCGTGCTTAAATAATAACTTGTTTACGGGCTTTGGCCTACAAAAATACGTCATCCCTGCAGCGCTCTATTAGTCAGACAAACCAGGTAGCTCCTCCCCCAAACTCATGCCATTGGTTGAGCATTCATCATTTCCTCTCACATGTATAAAAGTTGCCCAATTCCTCTGGAAAACAGACTTGGCAACACTGCAAGGATGTCTTTTATGTCATAGAATAAAATGTGAAAATATCTTGAGCTTGTGTTAACCACAGACCTTATTTCAAGCCTTTAACCCATTCAGAAAAAAAACATTGACTTCATGACAGTGAAGCCATGCTTAAATAACTCGTTTACGGGCTTTGGCCTACAAAAATACGTCATCCCTGCAGCGCTCTATTAGTCAGACAAACCAGGTAGCTCCAGCCCCCAAACTCATGCCATTGGTTGAGCATTCATCATTTCCTCTCACATGTACTTTGGCAGTTTTGTTTGTCAGCTGCACCAGCATCACAGTTTCTTGAACCTGTTTGTTGTGGGACCTGCGTGTGAGGTTCAGGACAAATATCCCAATATTCACTCTGGCTTCACAGTTGACACAGAAATGACTGATTTAACTCTACAAATCGCTTCTCCCACAACAGCAAGTGTTCATTCATCTCATTTGGGGATTTGATCTCTGTCTTGTGTTCTTCTCTGATTCTAACTTCTTGTTCTCTCACCGTCAGGTGATGTGGGTATGCAATCTGTGCCGAAAACAACAAGAAATCCTCACCAAGTCAGGGGCCTGGTTCTACAGCAGCCCAGGGGGCGCCCTAGACCTCAGCCTGGGTTATGTGAAACTGAAGCTGGGATAACAACAGATGGAGCACACAATGCATTCGTTCAGGTTTCATCTGCTTTTCTGCTGTTTACCATTGCTAATTTGTTGTTAATGCCGTGTGAGCAGTGAGTGTGATTCTGTCGTATACCACACAGTGGCAGTGTCTCTCTGAGCCCTGGTATCAAATGCTCTCCCTCTTTTGCTGGGATGTCCGTATCAGCTTAACTGCTCAGGGGTTAGGGGTCAGTCCTGGAGAGATGTCTCTGTAGAAACAGATGACTGCTCCCTTGAATCCGTGGCGACCGCTGTGTGTTGGTTTGATTTTCCATTCCTGAATTCCTGTGGAGGAGAGGAAAGTTGGGCCATGTGCCACAGGGATGGGGCTCATCTCACCTGCCGTTAGTGTGTGCTATATTGACATGAGCACATTTGAATGACAAACACTTGAAATTAAAATTGCATATTTTAGATGAGTAAACTGGAACGAGTTCTGGCGTCACTTAATTGTTGGTCTGTGTACATGATGGATATTTTTTGGTATGCTTGTTTTTAAGACAGCATGTTTGGGGACAGTAATTTTTACGTTTTTGAAAAAGTCTCTTATGTTCATTGATTTGATAAAATGCAGTAAAAACAGTAATATTGTGAAATAATATTACAATTGAAAATGTTTTCGGTGTTAAAATATGTTAAAATGTATTTATTTCTCTGATGGCAAAGCTTAATTGTCTGCATCATTACTCCATTCTCCAGTGTCACATGATCCTTCAGAAATCATTTAAATAATTTGCTGCACAAGAAACATTTCTTATTATTATCATTGTTGAAATGAGCTGTGCTGCTTTTAATACTTTTGTGGAAACCATGAAAGTTTTTTTTTTGAGTGTTCTTTGATTAATAGAAAGTTCAAAAGAATAATATTTATTTGAAATTGAACTATTTTGTTACCTTATAAATGTTTTTACTTTTGATCAATTTAATGTTTCCTTGCTAAATGAAAAAAATTCTTTGCTAAATTCCATATTCTTGTTGAACAGTAGTGTCCAATTTATCAGTTTGTGTTTTAACTGGGTATCAAAACCTTCACCTTTGCAAAACTTGCTCAAAACCAAAAAATTTTACATTTTAGAAATGCTTTCCATGTGTGTATTCTTTACCATCAGCTATTTAAACTTGCACTAATGCTTGTACTAACATACTTGTGTACTCTGGGTATTGGTTCCTACCCCTAAAGTTTGAGGCCATTTTATCTGGTGCGATGCATTTGTTTCTTTACCCATCCCTGGCTTCTTTACCTGGCAGATGTCCGTGAATGGCTCAGGACAGCAGGTGAGCTTTAAGCTGCTTTCACGGATGTAGTCTGACATTTCCCGTAGAACAAAATGAGCGCCTCTCTGCTGTGAAATATATATAAAAAGCTACTGTAACAGCAGTGCTGTTCTTTTCATTCGGATCGGTTCATATGCCGTGTTCTGTCACGAAAACTGTAAATGCTCATTTGCACTTTCTGTCTGGCTTAACGTGTTACCCCCAAAAGGTTAGATGTTATAAATGTGCCTGCCATATGGTAGCGAGGCAGTGTCAGATTTGTTCAGTGTTGTATAACAGAGAGTGTTATAGTTCTATATTGGTCCTGACTTTACACAAGTACTGTATTTTTGAAAGTGAGCAGCTGCTTTCAGAGTTTATGCCAAATGAGGAATTTTGTTAATTCCTCTACCTCCATAAATGATTTGCTAACATCTACTTGATGTTACAAACTGGCAAAATGTTTCTTACAAACACACAGCTTTTCACTTAACAAGACGTTAATTGATGGACTGGAGTGGTGTGGATTATTGTGAAGTTTTTATCAGCTATTTGGACTCTCATTCTGACGGCACCCATTCACTGCAGAGGATCCATTGGTGAGCAAGTGATATAGTGCTAAATTTTTTTCAGATATGTTCTGATGATGAAACAAACTCATCTGCATCTCGTTTGGCCTGAGGGTAAATTTTTGGCAGATTTTCATTTTTGGGTGAACTGTTCCTTTAAATGTTGCTAGGACAAGGAATATAGCGCACATATTGCCTATAGTTTTGTGCTACTTTAATTGCCTTGACAGACGTGATGACTGTATGATTTTGTTGCATGGAAAAGAGTAAACTTTTTCTTTCTATATGGAAGCCCATAGTAAAAATTAAGGAAATTGTGAGATAAATAAGATTGTGAGTTTAAAATAAGAAATAATGTCACATACATAGTAAAATGTGAAATATACAATTGCAATTCACTTTTTCATTTATTTTATTTAAATTTATTTTTTTTTGCGCTCTGAGGCAGAAATGTATGGAAGCCTGTCTCTGCCTCTGAATAAAAAAATAATTTAAAAAAAGTGTATATAGGTGTATCTTTTATAAAACATAAACTCGTAATTGTAAGAAATAAAGTCGGAACTGTGAGAAAATTCTGACTTTTTTTCTCACAATTCTGACCTTTTTCTCGCAATAGTGAGTTATAGTCTAATTCTGAGGAAAAAAAGGCTGACTATTTTCTTACAATATAAACTCTTAAACTTAAAAAAAGACAGAACTGCAAGATTTAAACTTGCAATTGGAATAAAAATGTCAGAATTGTGAGATAAAAAATGAGATTAAGATCGCAATTAACTTTTTATTTTTTATTCAGTGGCAGAAACAAGCTTCCATAGAAATGGTCTTTCACTGAAGTTATTCTTCATCTTGTCTATTTAATTTTATTATTGCTAGAGGAATCACAAAAAGAAAAACAGTGAAAACAGCTGCAAAACTCATAAAGGGTTGCAAAGCTCATGTAAAATGAATAGAAAATAAAACAGGTCATATAATATTTAATTTGACCTCCCGAGGTTGACAATCAACATTTTATGACGGTTAAGCACCTTCTCTGAGTGTTGAAAAATTATAAATAGACTATTTTTAATCATTTCAGGCCCTACTTCTGTGGCATGGGAGTTTTTGGGTTAACTGCTGCCAAAGTGGTTACGAACGGCCTGACTGTTCGCTGAGAGAATGTGTTAAATAGTTTGATGTCCAGGAATAGAGCTCAGGAAATCACTGAAAAGCACTTCCATTAATCTTAAAGAATGTTTAAATTAACTCTGATTCTTCTCTCCTGAAAAAGTGCTGACAGCCTATTTATATCCTGAAATAATGTGGGAAGAGCCTAATTTGTCTTGGTCTCGGAGGTGTCACTGGAGAGAACGCTCAGACGCGGCGCAAGTGCGGGTGGAACTGCTAGATGAAACAATAATAATTACACTGGGATTCGGATTTAATTACAGCCGTTATGTTTCCCTGGGTTTCGCGGGTTTTCGTGCATTTGTATCTCCTCCCTCTCCATCTATAAAATCCATTAGTGTTTTTATTGTAGCTAGATGCAATGTGACACCTAAGTTAAACAACAGCGGTTGTTTTAGAGCTGAAATTATACAAAATGCATGAGTCATTTGTAGGGTTGAGAGCTGATCTTCTATTGTCACAGCGGGTACTGCAATATACAGTATATTGTGTACATGCATATTGTGTCGATAGTTCAAGAGGTTAGCACAAGTTTCACTTTAAGAAGGATGTAATCAGGTTTCTTGCTCTTGGTTTAGCGCTGTGGGAGCTGATGTTGTGATGAAGAGGTTTTGTCTTGAGAGAGTTATTAAGAGAATGAAAGATGCACCTGCAGGAATTCAATATCAGCATTCAGATCTCACACCTGCCTGCTCTCTATAGACCATTCAACATTTTAATGATTTAAACGCTGATCTTTAAACAACTGGTGCATTTGAGGTTTGGCATGGGCATCTATATCTCTTTTTGAGAGATTTTTATAAATACTTTAATGATAGTTTTCACTCTGTCTGTCTGTCTGTCTGTCTATATCTATCTAACTTTCTGTCGTTCTGTCTATCTATCATTCTGTCTATCTGTCTATCAATTGTTCTATCATTCTATCAGTTTATCTATCTATCATTCAATCTATCGTACTATCGTTCTAACATTCGATCATTTTATCGTTCTATCTGTTGTTCAATCGTTCTATCTATCGAATGTTCTAAATCTATCTATCTATCTATCTATCTATCTAATCTTTCTGTCTGTCTGTTCATCGTTCTATCATTCTATCTCTCTATTGTTCTGTCTATCATTTGTTCTATCTGTCTGTCTGTCTGTCTAAATGGATTCTATCTTTTATATCTATCTTTTCACTTTTTGCGGTAAGTTTATCCTTTTATCATTTTAAAGTTTTTTTTTTTTTTTACTAAAAACATTTTACTATATTTTACAAATGAATTGTCTTTTAAAATATAATGTTGTATATTATAATTGTTGTATATTATATTATATTATATTATATTTTATTATATTATACCCAAAGTCAATAATATACTTCCAAATGCATGTACAGTAAACACAAATGAATAGAACTATGCAGTCTTGATTTTAGGTTGCATCATCCTGCTAATGGCTTTAACATGTCTCTCATAAAGGGCCCTGCTTCGCTTTTAAAAGAATATAGAAACATTTTTTTTTTTTAGGTCAGAATGCATGTTAAAAAGCACTCTTATTCCTTGTGTCCTCAGGGCAGTGCACTCCACACGAGAGCGTTTTCTGTTCCTCTAGCGCTCTTATTCCTTCAGGTATGCACACACACAATAGTTATCTTTTAGTGCAGAGCATCTCTCTCCACGGAAAACCCTTAATGATGTGGGAGAAAGAAAGCTCCCCTCCTCCCCACGCCACATGCGCTGTAGTGCTGCTGGAGGATGTGTAGTGCTGCTCTGGTGCTCCTGAGAGCGGATGGCTGAGAGATGGGAGAGAGAATCCTGACATCAGCGTCTCCGCGAGGACGCGACGCGCTTGCATGCGTTTGCATGGATGTTTATCGCGATTACTGTGGATAAATAAAGGCACGAGGGATCTCCGGTGCGTTTAGGAAACGCTGCGCGTTCGTTTTCTCTCTGAAGTTCGAAACATAATGACCGGCGGAGCCGGTGTCGGTCCGCTCTCCTCATCCAAACGCACTCTTCACCGGGATCAGAATACATCGGGAAGTTGAATCGTGTTTATGTTGCGCTGGAGATGCGGCGCGTCCGGAGCGAGGAGCGCTGGAGGAGTTTCGTCTGAGGGAAAGAGGGAATATACGCAGGATAACGGAGAGGAAGAGGGAAAATGCAGTTTGAGACATTGCGTCAGTTCTGTAGCTCGGTTTTATCTCATTTTAATGGGGCTTTCACGCCGCCGCAGAATATTCTGCAGACGGAGCTCCTGGAACAGGCGCTCAGCACCATCGGGTGAGTTTGTAAAACATCACGAGTGACTGTATTTGCATATCCTGAAGGAAATAGCAGTGCTTGCGAGGCACGAATTGATAGAAATATGTATGCGAAGCGGCTCCGAGGTGGCTTTGCTTCTGTGTAAATGAAATGCCGCAGCCGTTGTCATGACACTCAGCAGCACGCATCTTGTTCAGTGGCGGCTGTGTAAGAAAGGACCAATCAGAGTTCAGTATGCTAATAATTGCAAGAAAGATGTCCAGTCGCAATTAAGTATGCGAATATTACACAAATTTCTTCACTGTTGGGTGCATTTTGAATTGCGAAGGTTGTATAATAATAACTAATATTTTAAGTGGTTGCTTTCAGTTGTTGGGAAATTCGGCTGTTGCTTACATAGCCTAGATGTGTATGGTAGAGTGGGGGGAAAACGCCCCCCTTAAGGACTGTGTAATCCCCCCCCCCCCGCGTGAAACAAAACTTAAATGTGTCCAGAATAGAATGATCAGTTTTAGTGACAATGACAGAAATTATAAACCATGTATGAAAAATGTCCGGAGTTTTCATGTTATTTGATTTTTAACAAAAATTAAATTTGTACCAAGGGGGCGTTTTGCCCCCCAGGTGGGGTAAAATGCCCCCAGTCTGACAAAGCAATATGCTTTATACATTTACAGCAAAATCAGAGTACAGGCAGATTTAGCTTAAAATTGAAAAGAATATAATTAATAATTATAAATTACAAAATTATAACAGCCTATTTGAAAAATATTGTTAGCTGATGCTAACTAGCTACCTGAGGATTTTTTTTAATAAAGTCCAAATATTTTTATTCAACCAACTAGTTAGAATACATTTGATGGAAAAACAAAGGTTTTGATGTTCAGGACAGAGTAATGAAGCCGTGCCCCCTGGGGGCGTTTTACCCTACAGACTAAGTTAAAAAAAAAATTTGTCATTCTGAAAATATAATTATAGTTTTCTTAAATCACACATACTTCCTATCTACAAGCCTTACTATTCTCATATCATATATAACTGTGATGTTCTACAAAACAACAAGCTTTAAAACACTTTTTTTCCTCCCTGCTGAAAATTAGATCACTTGCTGTGAAATCCGTTTTCTCTCCGGTACATCACCAGTGTAAGCTTCATGGTGACTACTTCTACATCACTCTTGTCTACGTAGTCCATAGTTACAACAAAAATTTATCATGAGTTTATCTAGTGGTTATTTTGGGAAAAACAGCAGGGGGGCGTTTTACCCCACTCTACCCCTATACATATCAATGGTTGCTTAATTATTTGTGTTTTTTGTCTTTTCAAACAGGTCAGTTATTGATAAAACTTTTGGTGACTTTTAGCGGTCATATGAAGATTTTTAAATGATTTTAAATGGTAATTTATATATTGTTTTAAAGTAAACAGTTTGTGCACATCTTATTTTGTCTCATTAAATTGTATTTTTTATGTTTAGAAATTGCAAAGGTTGCATTGATACCTGCAATACTTGTAACAATTTCTTTCAAAATATTTTTTAATACCGTTATAACTTGTGCATATCCAGATCTCTAGATATTGGCATCAGAATCTGTCACTGAAAACCCCCATATCAGATAACTATTAATTTGAGCATTTTATCTACACTGTAAAAAAAACTCTGTGACATTTATGGTAAAATACCGGCAGTGTGGTTGCCAGAACTTCACCGTAAAAAATATGGTAGCAACATTTTAGGTTTTACAGACTTAACTTAAGTTCACAATAAAATACCATATTTCATTAACTGATGTAATGTTAATAAACCAACATATTGAAGTGTTAATATCTGTTTTGAACCATTGTAATGCACTGATTATTCTCATATGGCTTTAAAGCATGTGCTGCGCTTGACTGGTGGAGGCATGGTGTGGCCGCCAACTTCTGCTGAATTGCAGCGATTGCATTTCAGAGAAACGTCACACTGAGGCATGTAGAAGATGATGTGTTCTTTAGAGCAGAGGTCCCCAACCACCGGGTCGCGACCCACTACCGGGCCGTGGAAGAATTGCTACCGGGTCGCAAGAACGTTCTGGGAAAGATGTGGATAGATAGTCTACTCTGTTATTTATTTATGTTAATGATTGTTCTAATTATTCTGTAATATAGTATGGAAACTTACTGTTAATCAGTTAACAGGTTTTTACTGTAGCATTTTTACAGTCTTTTACTGTTAAAATCACAATCATTTTTTACAGTGAGTCATTTGCATCATTGTTTGGCCCTCGAATCTTAAGAGAAGTGGGCAGGTTCTGAGAGACATTCACAAATCCCCTGCTAAGATCTAGCTCTAGCATCAAAAGGCGTATCAGTGGTCCGTCACCTCACCGTAAACATCTGAAGGACCTCAGGGCACGAGGCTGAATGGTGTGTTTTAAAGACTGAGGCCATGGAAGCAACTCATCGTTTTACTCCAGGGATCTACAGCACAAGCCTCTTCCACTGCCAGCACAAATACACACTCAGCAAATCAGCACGCTAGACTTCACTCACACCAAGGGTTCGGTGCAAGCATCCCTTTGTTCCTGTGCGTTTGCTCATTCTCATATGGCTTTAAAGCATGTGCTGCGCTTGATTGGTGGAGGCATGGTGTGGCCGCCAACTTCTGCTGAATTGCAGCGATTGCATTTCAGAGAAACGTCACACTGAGGCATTTAGAAGATGATGTGTTCTTTAGAGCAGAGGTCCCCAACCACCGGGTCGCGACCCACTACCGGGCCGTGGAAGAATTGCTACCGGGTCGCAAGAACGTTCTGGGAAAAATGTGTATAGATAGGCTATGAAAAAGGGTTTTAAGTGAAGTTTTTCTGAATTGTGTGTTTTCATGGCAGACATCGGGCAAAGGGCTAAGGATAATGTCACCAAAATGACATCAGGTATGGTTAGTTATGGTCTAGCCAAAGTCTTTCCTTAGGGAATCGTTTCTTCCCTGTGTGGACCTATTACTAACGGACAGAGCTGTCTGCCAAAACCAGAGCGGATTCAGTCACACCGTGTTCTTTCCGCTTCAGGCTGACTCCATAAGGACCTTAGAGATGCCTTGTATGTGGCCGGGAAACTCTTCTTCCAAATGTATGTGATTGTTCCCATTTTTGTGTAGTGAGTGTGTTGTTGTGTGGGCCTGTAATGTTAGTTCTGTCTTTGTTTGGGCTACAGAGAGAGAGACTTGGATTTGTTGTAGACTTGTTCTTATATTTATGTATAAAATAATTCTCTCTCTCTCTTGTTCACATAACTTTCAATATTATGTTGAATTGCACAAAAGCTGTCATGAATGTAGTAATTTCACCTCGAATGAAAGGGGAAAAATATAAATAATATGCAAGTAATCATTTTATTTTCATAATTAAGCAAGCAGAATTTGCCTTCTTAATTATGAAAATCATGACGCAATGTGAAAAAAAGAATCCTAATGGTGCAAAAAAAAAAAATTATTTCTTTCTTGTTTTTTTTTTTTAGATACATGACCCAATACATAACCCAATAATACATGAATAATATTGTATAGTCTTATTCTTTCTAATGTATTTTGATAATTACCTAAACCAGTCTTTTTAGGTTCCATAAAAACATCAGCTTGTAGCCGAAATATCTATGCTTGTCTGACTGTTTTGATTTTTGAATAGACAATAGAAAAATGCAAGGATAAATCTCATTGAATCAATATTTTTCACAATTCTTTCTTTAAGTTGGAGATGCAGCCTCTGCTATATGACCATGTGCATCATTTGGCTTAATACATTTTGGTGGCCGCAGAGAAAGAGCCAGCAAGAGAGATACAGGGAAGAACAGAAGAGATAAATCATATTTGAAGTTTCTCTTAAATGGAATATCCCTTCCTACTAGCCGGTGCTTCACGAGGCTGCGTCTCCATGGCAACTTTGTTTGATCAATGCTGTGGGTGATGTGTGAGACAGGAAGACCTGTGGTGGAGACGGAGAGAGAGAGAGAGGGATGTCCCCCGCACACAGAGACTGAGAGACAACAGCAGGATTATTGTGGGTTTATTCATGAGGCTTCTGTAAACGCCGTCTGAGATTACTTGGCAAATGACGCAGATGAGGTGAATGAATGAAACGGAGAAGTTTCCAGTGCCAGAGCAGAGCTTTATGAGCACTTTGAGTTTTAAAGTAATGTTTTGGGGTATTTTAAAGAGATAGTTCACCCAAAATTTAAAATTATCACCATTTACTCACCCATACGTCATTTCAAAACTGTTTGACTTTCTTTTTTCTGTGGAACATAAATAAGATACTTTGAGAAATGTCTTGAGTGTTTTTTGTTAACACATTGGAAAAACATAAGTTGCACAGTTTTGGACTGACATGAGGGTGAGTAAATGACTACATTTATCACACTTATTTGGGTGAATTATCACATTAAGACTTGCCCTTTAGAAGGATAAAAAAAAATTTAAATTTGAAGCTGGTATGTTTTTAAATGGTGTTATTTGAGTTAAACATATGTTTAAAATTGTTCTTTTGGTTTGGGACTACTTTTCTAGAAGGATGAATTTCCAATTGCTGATGTAATTCCTGTATGTAAATTTGTCTAGTTTTCTTATCAGAAAGAATTAATTCTCTTTAAGGCCACAATGAAGATTTAATGGAGAATAAATGGTCGGGTCTCCTGCTCAGATGTTTCTACACTCCAATCTCTCATGTATTTCCTCTCGATTCAAAAAAACAATCTCAACAGTGTCATAAACTGTGCTCAGATTTGTTCTTTAATGGTGAAATATCCAAATCTACTGTATAAATACAGAGTTGTCTAAAAGACACACTGTAAAAAAAATAATTCAGTGTGTTAATTGCCGTTTCTTCATAATTATTAATGACATTTACTAGCAGGTTCTCAGTGAAAAGATTAAAAGTAAATTCTACACTTTTTTTTTTTTAGTTCAGGGAAAGAAAACAAGTATAAAAAACAATTAAATCTCTTTAATATCTCAGTTGTTTCTTCTAGACATCAAGCGAATG